GTTATGCATAATAATGAGTCACATCACTTTCCAATGTTTTCATTCAGCACTGGTTGTAAAAGTACTTGAGTTATTAGGGTTATGCATATTATGCATATTAGGGTTATCGTACTTTGATTTTTTTAATCACTTATATATTTATTGCTGTAAACCAATAGAACATTTGTAATTCTAAGGATGCAATAAAGTTATTATTATTATTATTATTATTATTAATAAGATAACATGAACATATATGGTCATCTGGTTAGTTATATATGCCTCTCGTCTGACACCTTCATTACATTACTGATTGCATGTCCCTATCTGTAATTGTGCTTGAGATACTGTGGAAAAAAAATCCAGCGAATATACCTTTTTTCTTATATTTTACATTCAACTTGTCAAAAACCAGTGAAAATAAATTCCATACAAAACACCCAAAAAGTATAGTCAGCAAAAATTAATTCTAGCTATTAAAAATAAAGTATTTTACAGTAATATGTTGAAACATGAATATACCACACGGACAGAGTATAAATGCATGCAAAGATAAAGACATTTTTGTAACCACAAATTCAAACTACATATTTTCAGCAATATCTTGAAAAATATAAATGTGAGACTGGGCCAAGTTTCTTAACTGCATTATTGTAACCACTAAAATAATGTTAATGATAGAGACATCAATGAGAATAGACAATTTCCTCCCATATACATTTCCTTTCATCAATAATAAACTAGCAAGGTAATAGTATTGACAGCAGGTACATGCAGTATGATCCAAAAAAAAAATAAAACTAGGACATACAAAATGTAAATTGACTACAATGCAAATGAAAAAAACTACAGAAGTAAAAAATGAAGGTTAAATATTTCCGGAGAAAATAGCATAATGGAAATTCAGACACAACAAGGAAGATTATTTAAATTATTTTGTTTAATTTTCATATAGACTGAGCTCATTGTGTTCAGTCTGGAAGTTTCTCATGTATACATAAACATTTTTCTATGTACATAATATCAAGAAACTTGTAATTTGTTTTTTTTTGTCAAAACCACAAATTTTGAATTATTTTTTGCATGACAAAATAAAGTGAATCGCTTCTTCAATTTCCATAACAGCACATTAACTTGCAAATTCTTTTGTCAATCAGAGTTTCAGGTTTTGTGTGTCTACCAATTTCAATTTTGAGACAGTGATTGCCGAGTTGGAGATTACTGTTTGTGATGTTCTCCCAACCTGAACCAAGTATTTTTCCAGACTGAATATCTTTTTGAAACCTTTTGTATGTTCTCAAGTTGTTTCTTTCCTCTGATGATATTCATCATGGATATAATTTTTCCAAAATAATACAAAAGATGCTTTAATTTGTTTGTCTATTATTTTTTATTGGATTTCCATAAATATTTTCTCAGCGGTAATCATGATTGGTTGATATTAGCAAGTTCCACTTCCTTGTACCATTTACTGTAAATTTTTTTATTTGAATCTGCAGCTTCTTTAAGAAGGGTATTATTGTATTCATTATGTGATTGTAACATTTGTGCATTTGTCTCCTGATGAACATATGTAATGGGTATCTGCATTGTATAACCCGGCAGTAGCATTAGTATATGTCCTCGATGGCAGATTTGTAATTACTTTCATCTCCCAAGATACCACTGCCATAAACTAATACCGGTATTGGTCGGATCAGTTTAACAAATAGTGATTAAAAAAGTACGGTAGTTATTTTACATTTTGTTCATATCTTATACTTTCTTTCAAATGAGAACATGGACTTTTGGCCCCTTCATTTTAATTTAATCATTGTTTCTTTGGACTTTCCATTTGGGTTCAGAATTTGATATAATAATTTTTTTTAGGATAATTTTTTCCCTTTTAAAAACAAGCAAGCAGCCTGTCAGCTGAGATAGCTCCGCTGTTAGCAATGCACATGGCAATTAAAGAACAGAAGATATCATCACGAAATGAACAAATCTAAGAGAGGTCCACATGTAGTACCTATATGTA